CGTCTTTGCTGCTGCAAAAGTTCGAGTCTGTGCAGTCACTGAGAAATGAGTGCCGTGGCGGAATCACGTTTCACGAAATGACCATGTTTTTTATTTGTTTATAAAGCGGGTAAGATCCCAGTCAGCACATGTGATAAGTGTTTTCAGAACAGAAAACAGTAAAAACATAGTTTTTCTACTGTTCGACCTAACGGAAAATCACAAAAAGTAAATGAATGAGAAAAACATCTCTCAACTGTTATCAGCCATTCTCAAAATCTAAACCATATGATTTGGCCCTTTTTGAATAACGAACAAACAATTTAAACTGCAACTCAATTCGAAACAAGTGAAAAACAAAAAATGCGATAAGAAAGAAGTTCATTTTTCCGTAAAAACAAACTTGGTGGACATTTACCATTAAAACGTCATTTTAGAGGCCTAAACAATCAAAATTAAGTACGAAGAGATAATATTCGTGATCAGTACGAAAAAATACATTCGAATAATGTAACTTTCAGCATATTCCTAAGGCATTTTCTTTTGCCAAAAATTCAACTGCACAATCTCTCAACAGAGAGATAGCTCTTTTCTCAGCTAGATGCGAACAACATTGCGATTCACATCATTTGATTCAGTTTTTTGTGCTGATTATGAATATAATTTTTTCATGCTTAATTCTGATTGTTCAGGGCTTTAAAATAACGTTTTAATCATGAGTGTCAATACTTTTTGCGATATTTTCAAATTTTGATCATGTTATTCATCTTTTTTCTTATTTTTAAAATCATATTTGGAAAGAACGGGAAAAACTGCATGGATCAATGCATTCCACTCATTGGTTTGGGATTCCGTTATCGTATAATATCAGGTCAAAGTGTCGAAAAACCGTGGTTTTCGCTGGTTTTTGAGTATTTGCTAAAAATTATGCAAAATTTGGTTTTGAACGGCTCGTTTGAGATGGCTCAAATAGAAAAAATAATTTTGCACACAACCGAGCGTGTTTTAGGCTTTCCACTGGTGCAGCTAGGTCGGCTGACGCCGAAAAGTTGGAATAACTCTCTACTACCATCTTTCAATGAAACAGATTTTTCTCCGTTAGATTAAATTTTTTCCGAATTTCAACCTGAGATTCGGGCTCAGCATCGCTGCCTTTCGTGATGTGTGATTCAAAAGAAGTGAAGAAAAAAATCTTGGATATCCGAATATATGATTCTTTTTCGCAAATCTTGTGGACAAAAAACGGCTTATCGATACTACTCGTTTTGTGGCGGAAGAAGATATAACCGTTCAAGGTGCTTTTATATGAATTAGAATTTGCATGTAAATTTCGAAACTTAATTTAACAGCAAGCCGAGTTAAATATTAAAATACCAAGATGACATAAATTGTACATCCGACATAGTAACAGAATATGTGTCAGTTTTTACAAATAGCAATTTAGTTTTGAGGGTAACAAATAAACAATATGCTTGAATGTAGTCTGTAAAAACGGTACATAAATAAAATCATCAAAAGTAGTACTTCCTTGACTTTTGTCGAGTAAATAAAGTAATATTTTAAGTGGATCTAGGACAGTTGCGAGGACACTTCCTCGCTGAAGAAATTCCAGCGCTTCCAGCAATATTAACAATGCACTTACTGCTATTAATATATTTATAGTTTTCAGAACTATTCTCCCCACAATGCTGTTTTGTCTGACCAATTTCTTAGACTTAGAATTTGAAATGCAAGTAAAATGTAAACGGATCATCTCTCATGAATTATGTTTTCCAGTATTTGGTCACATTCATCGCACAAACACGTATTAGCAACTTACGTATTGCTAGAAATCTGCGATAGAAACTAAGTTAATTAAGTTTATCCCAGTCATTTTTTCCGTATTGACCATAATTCCAACTATATATAAAGGAAATCAAACAAAAAACTAACAGAAAGCAGAAAAAAGAAAAATGGTGGAATAGAATGAAGAGCGCTAGTTCCACCATAAAAATAGCTTTATGGTTTCTATCTCGAAAACTAATGGTTGTCCAGGAAAGAAAGAGCATATTTGTATATAGTACATATGATTGCTAAACAGTTTCACTAACTTGTTTAATTATTAAACTAAAATCATCAATTAATCCATTATTAAACGATCCATTACCAACTTTAATAAATTTAATATAGATGGAAAATGCACGCGAATATTTTGGTAGTAAACCACTGCTGCTTCTTAAGATGAGTTTGCTCTGATTTTCTCTATCACTGTTAGTTACGTGCCCTAAAAGTGTACGATGAAGGTGAGAATTACTTGTTGGTAATAAATAAAAACAACAATTACTTGAGAGAGTATTATACTTACGGAGTTCATGACGAAGCAATGTCTGACGAGACATCGATCGAATGCCAAATGATACTCTGACATAGTCTTTATCAGTCTCTATTCCTCCTGCACTGACTCTGAATTCATACCACGCTTTATCGGAGTCTATTAAACGTGAATAAGAGGACAAATCGATTGTTTGATAAATGTAGGAATCGGGATCATTGAATTCTCCTCCCCAGAAGACACAATCACCACTACGGTTCTTGTGAAACGAGGAAAACGCATCATAGTCTATTACTGTTGCTATTGTTTTCTCGAAGTATCTCCAGGATGGATGATCACCTGCTTTAGCTTCTTTAGTATCATTTGCACATTTTTTTCCGTCGTTGACGTCACTATTGGAAATTAAATTCGATAAACTGAACGTGTCTGTTACACCATTATCAGAGCTATTGTAGACATATGTACCATCTGATAATAATGAGTTTATGATTCGACGAGGAAAGTCCCACGAATTTGCCTTTGTACCGGTCAAATTTACATCACTGAATATAGTGTTGTCAACAGAAACATCATTAAAGTACGAGTATGCCATTTCACAATGAGAAAAATTTGCTCCATCCAGATAACTATTTATAAAGGAACCGTATGTTAAGACAGACCAGCTGAAATCAGCTGATTCGAGATCAACGTTAATAAACGTTGCATTTATGAGTGTAACGTACGAAAGAGATACATAGTTTAGATTTAGACCAAGGACCTCTGAACCACTAAAATTCGTATTACTTAAATCTGCTCCATCCAAATCAATTGGCTTTCTATTTTTATGCAGCAGACCGGCTTCATGTAAAAACTGGATCAGATGCGTTTTTCGTTGCGGATCCAATTGACGAAGAGTCGAGAGGGTTTTGGCTCGAATAATTATTCGACGATTTTTCAATTCATCCTTGGACAAATTTTTATCCGATTTTAATAAAAGATCGCCCATTTCTTTTATATATGCAACATAGGCTGTTTGTATCTGCAATTCTTTCGCCTGCTGTTGTTCGTGATCCCGTTGTTGAGCAGCAATTTCTAGGTCTGTGAGACGATTTTGTTTATCCACATAGTTTTCTTGAAAAGTAGTGACTACTGTGAAGATGCCGATGGTGAGAGGTACGAGGAGTGCTGCAAGTACTTTTAGAGATTCCGATCTAGTCAATCCGCATATCAACGTACGACGTTCTTCGTCTTTCGTTTTTCTGCTTTGTACCACCAGCGATAGTTGTGTATGGTTCATCTCTAGATGCTCTACTTCCAGTACGAATACCATTTATGTTTTATGTGAATTACACTCAGGATATAACAGATGTGATCTGAAACCACTAATTCTAAAATAAGCTTAAATGACAAAAACGTCCATCAAGTGAATGTGAAGATATTTCATTACAATTAACAGCATTCCATGATCTTTCCTAGGAAGATTACACTATTGCAAATGAGCCGATATAAATTTCCTGGCATTCTCTTTAGAACAAGAGGCTTTTATATTTCATACACGTTTTTAAGTTTACTTTTCACAAAATCAAATCTTAGCAAACTGACATTTTTGCAGCAGCAAAGACA